CCCAGCCGAGCCCATGCAGAACTCGCGAATAAGTCTTCTGGGGCGATAGTGAGTACGGCCAGTCACGAAAGCTCCGCTTTCGTGCTTAATTACCATACAAGCTCTAAGTCGATACAGAGGCATGAGGACCTTGAAACTTTTCGGCCGTTCATAAGAAGTATCTTCAACAAATTCGTTCGTTTCGTAACGCATTATCGCTGAGACGTCATTATGGATTAATCGCTACAAGAATATATCGATGCAGATAACATCGAATTTTAAAATCTCTCAAAAAATGGAAATAAATTAAAAAATTTTATTTTCAAATTTATCATTTTAATAATGTTTCAAGGGCATTCTTATATTTTATATATTATCTTAATACATTCTACAGAAATTTTATCGGACATTCTAATCACCGCAAATTCTTTTCTTATTTAGAGAGAAATGAAATTTTAATGTACTGTAAATAATTATCTACATGCACGAAAGCAAATCTATTTTAGGCTGCTTCGCAAGTATAACGTTAATAATTTCTACATATTTGTTAATTGAATAAAAAAAGAAAAATAAAAAGTGTAACATTTATACTTTTCATAAGTGTTATAAACATATATAACATATATAATATTTATAAAAGTAATATTTTTTCTTCTTTTACAATTCATGAATATTTAGTTATTAACTTTACATGTACAAAACAGCATACAATAAATATATTTGTTCTTTTATATACATAATTATTTATAATATTAAAATTCTAAATAAGATTAAATTTTGTGCGGTGATTAGAACATCGTATAAAATGTCTGTAGAATATATTAAGATAATAGGAATAATCACATAAGGTATAACAATAGTTGATAAAATCTACAGTTAAAATCTCGCTCGCAAAGCCGATTATCTAGTTATTTCGCGTTTCCTTTCGCGAGGAATAGTTCACGTCATGGCGAGATTAAAGCAAAAGAATATGAAGATAGGATCAAACTTGTATCGCGGTGCGACCTAAGCTGCGAATTAGGATTTGCATAACGAAATGCACGAGCTGCCCTTGCAGAAGGCAGACGTTAACTCTTTAGAGATTGCATAAATGTAAAATCAAGTTAATGTGTTTAGGAAATCTCTCAGGCAAAACTAGACCATATCAGAAATGAATCAAGCGTAAACAATCCGGTTTTGAAGCTCTTAATATAATTAGCTTTCTCTGCACAATTCATGGTATGATACGACCTATATAACTGCTGTTTTAAATATAAATTCTATATCGACTGTTTTATTTGGAGAATCTCGGTCGTCGATTTATAACACTTTTGTATAAAAATAATGAGAGCAGTGTCTCACGAAAAGCGAGATTGTACAAGTGAAACTGTCACAGTAAAGTTTTAAAAATGATATTTATATTTGCAAGCCATATTCTTTACGATACTACGAATCATTGTAAAAATAGACTGAATCCAATTATCAGATTTGAATACTTAATTAAAGAGTGTCCTCTTTCGGATATAGATTTCAGGTATTTCAGATATTATCGCTTTCGCAGAATCGTATGCAAGAATATTCAATTCTTATATTCAATGCAGAAGAAGAATATAATCAGAATTCTAATAAATATCCATGAATATACATGCTGTCTTGATTCTAATAGTGCATTGTTGAATCAGGCCGGAAAGAGTGTCTTAATTTCTGGGTAAGTTGACGTAGTTCCGTTAGATGGAAGCGTGATTCCGATTCCCCCGGACGGAAATATCGAAAATCGAACGATAATATTGAATCATTCTGAGAGCGGATCTACGATTATTGGCGCGTGCTGTGTCAGCGGAAAGGACATTAAATGGCATTTCTGGCTGTTTCTGACTGGTTGCACAGCTCGTATCGATGATATTCGATGCTTTGCAATACAAGTTAATCGAAATTTTCTTTCACGTAATTTTATTGTTTTTATTAATACTTATAAGATTGCACAAACCAGTGACTTTCATATCCTGCAGTCACAATCAATTCTAAATTAACAACTAAATCAATTAGAATGATATACAACTTATTTTTATAAAAAAAGAACATTTGTAAAATCATTTTAGATGATTTAATGCAGATCTTTATCACATAGATGGATATCAGTACTTTTATGTATTGATTGTTAAATATAAAATTTCTAATTTTGGATAAGAATTGCATGCATTCATTCTATTCAATGTAAAAAAAAAACCTATTAAAATGTAAATTGCTAGCTTCACATTATGTAGTATATAAGAAATCATGTGGGATCGTTGGATCGAAGCAAAAGCAAGAAATGGAATTTATATGAAATGAGTTTTATATGAAACTCAATATGTCCTTGAAAAGTATCCTAATAAATTACACAGATATATCTTCGAAGAGACAAGATGTATTTTAGAAAAGCCAAGAAGTACGAGCCAAGAGGTTTTGTCCGATTTTGCGGTCTGGAGGACGCCCCTGCATTTTCGACGGCATTCTGTACAGTTCAACTCGAAAGCGGATAAAATCGACTTTCTTGATGGCGATGACGTAGTCGATCCTTAACTGCATGCTATTTCGAGATTTTCACCATTTCGATTAGAAAATATCCCGCGAAATCTTTGGGTCGGCGGCGAAACGAAATGTTAAAGTCACGCAGGCCCTCATGGCGCGACCTCGAAGATAATAAAGCTCAGATATTACATCCCAAATCACGAAGAGTCAAATCGATATTCCACGTTAATCGTTCAGTTGCTTTTGGCTTCTGCTGTAAATCTGACAGCGAGTGCTTAACTATAATTTAGATAAATTAAGGGCAAGAATATATGCAATGCCCTCAATATAAAAGGTCGACTCTAGCATATCGAAAACTTTGAAGATTATTAAAAAATTATTCATAGGAAATAAATTTTTTTTTTTATTTGAGATTAATTCAAGATCATTTCATGATCTTAGTTGACTAATATTCGTCCAATAATGAAGATTTTTAGATCTTACCTAGATATAAGTATTCCCCCAAAAAAAATGTTATACATATAATGGACATATTATATAAATATATATAAAATATATATAAAATATGTTACT